ATATATATATATATATTGTATACGGATAACAACACTGCCAGAAATTTGAAAATGAAAACATTTTAAAGTAAGGTTTTAAAGAAAATCGGGAGATGGCATTAGTTAATCCGTTTCAAGGCAAAACAAAGTAACTCACATCTTTATCAATTTTGAGTATACTGTAATAAACATTTACTGTGGACACTTCAGGTATCAATGATAAGTAGTTTTGGCGTTGGCAACTTTTCTCTTTAAGCATGGAACTTAAATTCTAAGTATTTCCAAGGTAAAACAACATAACAAAAAATTATGAGGAACAACGTTATCTTTGAAGAGTATTGAAAATTGATCGAAGCAAGATGTACTGCTTGGTTACACTACATACAGATAAACATATTAACAATGCTGTATACACAAGGTAGATAATGTCTTTGACAAGATACAGCAAAAAAAAATAGTACAATATCCGTTCAACAATGCACCTGACATTTGATCTAACTCCAGTGGTGTGCATTTGGTGTAGTTTGTCTAATAGACTACCACTTTTTTTTTTTTAAATAACTAATTAAAGATGTTGTTTTGGCCCATAATTGATGGATTACATGTAGTACACAGTATTACGCATGACACAAACCCACAATAAAATATATTTTCTAGAAGATGAAACAATATCTGTCAACATTTTTAATACCTTCATAATAATACCAAATATCTGTGAACATTTTTAATACCTTCATAATAATACCAATTGCAAAGTTACAAACTTGCAATATTTAACTTTTTTATACCTCGAAAGTTAAAAAATTTAAAGTTACATCATTTTGCCTTGGAATGAGAATATTTTCAATTGTAGTACAGTAAAATGTGTGTATACTATTTATCTGTACAGATAAATAGTATACACACATTTTATAATAACTACCAGCTAAAATGTTAAATATACAGTACATCAGAGCCTGTTAAATAAAGGTTAAGTGTCCCTTTATTCTAATCTTACCAGCTAAATTTTTAAATATTCATCATTATGCGGTCTCAGAAAGACGGTAAATTCATAAAATTATTTTTAAACTAAAATTCATATAGCATTAGATTTCTTAGGTTTAAATCCATAACGTATGTGGTTTAGGTAATGCATAGAATATGTTTTTGATTGAATTCACAGCATGTTTTTATTAGCCTTGCTGGAGGGTTACCTTCTATAACTGTTCAACACTATAAATCCAGGGTATTCAACCTTTTTAAGCCTGGGGGGAAGGGTGGGCCAGTTCCAATTTGTTAAGGCTAGCTACAGGCCAACATAAATTGTGTACTTCCATTTTCTCTTATAGTGGTGAATTTGAAATAGAAGTGGCCAGGGAACAACTTTCACGAACAGGGGAAAACACCACTTCGGCCCTACGATGGGTAAGGCTCAGGCAAGAAAATTTATGATTACGGAACCTCTATATGGTACTCTTAATGGTATTCTTAGACTTAAATTTTAGACTTAATTATCTTTTCTTCTCTTTTCTTTCTTTCAGTATTTTGGAAAAAAAAAATAACCTGCACTCCAGGTCCTCCTACTTTGCTGCCACTAGAAAATTTCACATATTATTGTTAACATCTCTACATTCCTGGAAACTGCACATTGAAACTCAAAAATAAGATTTCAAAGCGGTGTTTTCAACAGAATAACATGCAAAGAGCCTGCTGGAGCCGCAACTGGTTAGATATCGCATTAACTACCCCACCCTCTAGTCTAGTCTACCCTCACCCCATGCATTTTATGAGTTGCTGACTATCATTTCAGGGGGTCTAAATTTGGAAGAAGCCAATTCTGGGAGATCTGTTAGTGGGTTTCAATGTGGCACATCTAACTTTATTTTGCTGCATGTGGTGATACCTAGCAACAGCCAACTTCCAGAAGACACTTTTGGAACCGGGTTTCCATGGTCTTTGCCAGCTCTAATCTCTAATTAAAAAAATAAAGATAATAGACATTTGTTATTGGGACTAAAAAAACTGGTCTTTAATTGGAGGTAATCTTTAATTGGAGGGGTCTTTAATTAGACGGAGACCTGAAGTAGTAAAAATATCCAAATATTGGCCGTACTTGACTGGTTGTTTTTTTTGTTGACAACAATTTTTATTTAAGTTTAGGCGGCTGGTCCATAAACTAAGTCTTTGTTGACAATAAAAATTAAAGTAATCAGAGTGTATAAAATTGCGATAAGTAATTTCCATGTGATGAAAATATTTTATTTATTTGTTCTCTATACTGGGTTTCCTCTTCAGTAACAAATTACTGTTCTCCCAGAAGGCCCAGTACACATATAACAGTCCACGACACACAAGACAAACATAACACATGATGCTTTACACAAACTAAATCTCAATATGAGGTTTAGGGAGTGGAGTTGCTTTGGTCGTGAGAAAAAGTCCTGCAACTGACAGGAATTGAACCCAGGACTTTGGGATTGGAAGGCAAGCATCTTAACCACCAAGCTATTCAACTCCACTAATAAACACGGTCAATTGGTCGATTGAGCAAAACAATTTGCGTTTAATATAATTTAAATAAAATTTCAGAAAATAATAATTATAATATTTGCCTGCATAAAGAAAAAAAAAATAATTGTAGGCTAACATAAATCAAAAACTACATGGATATATGTAATAAGCAAAACCATCTGTTTGTAGAAAAAATTCAAAATTATGTTATTGCTCTTTTTAGATTCTGCATGAATTTGTCATTAAAGCAGTGTTTATTTGATGGAAATTGGTTAAGTATCAATAGCGTTATTTATTATTTAGTTATGAATATTAATTTGTTGAACATCAGAAATGTAGGAGTTTGAGAAAACAGCTTCTTAAGATTCTAAAATCAATAGTTTATTATTCAGAAACTGTATTTTTTTAAATAATTTTAATACATTTTTCTGTTAAATTTTTAGTGAATAATACTTTCTTCAATAAATCTTCTTCTATAAAATGCAAAAGTTTGAAAATGTTAATTTTGATTCTTCAACCTTCTGGGTGCTTTGTGGAAAATTACAAATTCTGACAAATAGCAGGTTTTGCCAGAGATAGTCACATAGCTGCTTACGAAAAAACCAAACTACCACAGGTTGAAGTAAACTTGACTGATTAGTTTTACAATTTGTTTGTAGTCTAAAGCAACAATTGGTGTTCCAGTGCCCTGTATTTGATGATGACAATAACAAAAGATTACTACCTGAATTTGAACTTCATCGATCAGTACGCCGTTGTTTGATATCTGTTGAGAGCTTCCGGGGCTTACAGAAACACGCAACCTCAACGAAGCTTCACCTGCGTTCCTAGTGCGAACACGCATGGCAACGTTGTGTTTAGCTTCATAAAAGACACCACTCTAATAAACAAAAACAAAACAAAAAAAAACTGTAGACTATAAACTAGTTTTGTATGATTCAGTAGTGTAGAACTAAAATTCTTGATCACAATACCCAGGTCCTGGGTTCAAACAAGACTACACCAGAACCTGAATAAAACTCTACTTCATAAACACCATTAAGAGAACTATAGGAGATACACTCAATATTAAAGTTACCCTACATACAAGGGCTAACCCAAATACAGGTCCTAACCTCCATACAGGAGCTACACTTAATACAAGAGCTAACTTCCATACAGGAGCTATCCTACTCACAAGAACTAACCCCTATACAAGAGCATACCTTATTACTGAAACTACCCTAAACACAAGATCAAACCTCCCATAGAGGAGCTATTCTCGATACTGAGGCTACCCTAAATGCAAGAGCTACCCTCCTTACAGGAGCTACTCTATTGACAAGAGCTAACCTTTATACAGGAACATACCTCATACTGAAGCTACCTTAGATACTGAGCCTACCCTAAATAAATGAGCTAGCCTCTATACAGGAGCATACCTTATTACTGAAGCTACTTTAGATACTGAACTTACCTTAAATGGAATTGAATTGAATTGAATTTATTCGATGCTCATATATAAAATATAAAATATAGAAATACAATATAGGAATTTTTTTACAATAATCAAATACAACGAGCATCTGGAACACCCATTAGGCCGGGAATCCAGTCCATTTCCAATGGGGTCCAAATTGCACAATTAAAAAGTTATCAAAATTAATACATATTAAAAAGGAAAAGAAAAAAATGCAGCATTTAAAAACCAAGATGCACCCAATTAACTAATAATTTAGATAGAACACAACAGTGCTCAATTGTAATTATTGCAATTGAGCACTATTGCGTTCATACAGTTTTTTGATGTGCATTTTAAATGTAGCCATATTAGTAATTAATTTTAAATTAGTTGGGAGAGCATTCCAGTCATTGATAGCTGAAACGAAAAAGGTTGAATGAATGAGACTGATACAGGAGCAACCCTCAATACTGTGAAGCTACCCTAAATATAAAAGCAACCATACAGGAGCTACCCTCAATACTGCTCAGTATTGATGGTAGCTCCTGCAAAGATACACTAAATACAAAAGCTAACATCCATACAGGAGCTACACTACTGAAGCTACCCTAAATACTAGAGCTCGATACTTAAGTTACCGATGCATACAATACCGTACAGCATGCAGGCTGGGAATGACGGGCAATTCGATTATCCTCCCTCTATCTGAGTACCGAAAAAAATAGGTCGAGTATAACCTCATTACAAGATTTAACCTCCACACAGGAGCTACCCTCAATACTGTAGCTGCCCTAAATACAAAAGTTTATCTTCATACAAAACCTGATCTTAAAACAAGGCGCCATATACTTAATACAGCGTCTGTATTACTTAAAGTAACTACCAAACAGATGTTATAGTATATTATAAATACGGACTGTACCCTTAGTACAAGAGACATTCGCGCTACAGATGCTACAATCCATATTAGGAAGGGGGGGGGGATGCCTACCCACCTTGATATGTAGTTAATCTATATAGTGATTTATACTGGATTCTTATCTCAAAGCGCTTGAGGTGTGGACTAGCTTGAGTAGCTATGGTAGCTAAGGTCTCTTCATGTCAAGAGCTACCCGGTAAATTAGTACCAGCTAAACTTGTCTGGCCACAGGAATGGTTGTATTGATAAGTACACCTGAGTAGCCCTCTACTCATCTCAAAAGATGTACTGGGTTTTTTAATGTGCACACTGGAGGCTATGCTTTATTAGTCCTTAACTGAGAAAACTTTTTCCTCCAACAGAGCCATAGGCGAGCGTGCCGTCAATATTTCTGCTGTACTTTGTTTGCAGCACACCTGTCTGAACTGCTCGGCCATTCGACTCGCTTTATGATGCGACACCGAGTATACCGTACCTGAGCAAAAACTGGCTCAACGGTAATTACATCTTCATTGCTGACACTCCAGTGAAATAGGAGGGGCGGTGAAGCACTTCCTAGGGTGAAAGGTGATTCGCTGTCACCAAGACCAGTTGCATAGACTGGCATTTCGGTTTGCATCTGTAAACGAAGCAGTGGTGCGAATATGCGAGCCTCTCCAAGACTGATGACATACACGTCTACATAATCCTTAAATAATTATAAAAACATATTTCGGTTAATGAGGCAAACTGAATGAATATTTTTAGAAAGGCTCGAAAGAAGAGAAAACGGCACTCCAGGGTTCTTTAAAGTATGGATCATAGGACTATAATTATATACAGTTGTTATATTTTACTGCATGAATCAACACAAAAATAATTTTAAGGTGGCAATAATACTGTAGTGAAAACATAAAAACAGGGTCTGGAGAGGGACTTTAAGAGATGGAGAGTCTAGACCACCTCAGCCCCACCATGGTTGGGGCTTAGGTAAAAGAAAATTTATGATTATGGCACCTCTAGATGGCAGAAATGGCTCTCTCAGACCTAAGTTTGATTAATATTTTCTTTTTTCTCAACTTTTTTTTTATAATTTTGAAAAATTTACAGGGGCCTGGGCTGGTTCAGCTCCCCCTTAAATTTGCCGCTGAAAACAACATGAATTTGAACGAGTTGGGTAGTTTCTAGGATTTTTTGCTTGCTTGCAGGAATGCACATGGCTGTCCAAAATTCTTGAAGGCTCCCACAAGTTATGGGATTCTACAGACCTCTGGTAATATAATATTATTCAGAACACAAATATGGCGAACGGTTTGTAATCTCAGATTATCTATTTTTTGCCTTATTGTACAAATTCCTGTACATATAAGATAGTATGATATATACTCCAAGTATCGAAATGCATGTCATCTTGTCAGGATTTTCTGTACATACGTTGTTTAAAAAAAAATTTAAATGGTACTTAATATAATATACCTCAGAATAAATGACATCTCCACCATTTTCATCACTTCCGACTGCCCGTCCAGTAACCCGTGTATGCCCTAATTTGAGCGCCTCGACAATTCCACCAGTGCTGATGTTAGCGATGTGCAATTGAGCAATACTAAACTCTACCAATGACTGGGGCTGGGGACCACCAGTACTGCGCACCTATAAGAATTTGAAGTAAAATTTATTTGATTCCTTTTCAATTCGTACAAAAATGTAAGACAAGATCATAACAAATTCATGAGAAAAAGAAAAAGGCACAGACTCAGGAAAAAAATCAACCTGAAACAAAAGGGAGACACGACAAAAAAACAGAAAAGGAGGAAATGGTCAAAACCAGAAAAAGAAGACAAACACACACATACAAAAAAAAAGCTACAATTCAAATTAAACCAATACACCATTAAACCAATAAATGTTAGTTTTAGTGAAAAAGGATAATAAGGCAGTTGCCTATATTAATAATTGTGTTTCTTGAACTGGATAGAAAATGAGTTCTTATTATAAATGGAATTGACAACTAGAGGAGGTAGAGATTTAGATAGTTTAAGGCCAGTAAAATCTAATATTATGTTGAAAATGGTTTGCCTTATGATTAGGGATGTATACATCATACCTACTGTACCTCAAGTACAGGAATTGTGTGGAGAGGAATTAAATTCGAAGATATCACAGAAGTACTTTAGTAAGGATGCATACATAAAAACAGCTGGATAGAGTTGATATCAGGCAGTTTCAGCAAATTTAAAATTTTTAATATTTTACAAGAAGAAACAGTATCAGGATTATTATTAATCATTAATATATTGAATGTTTTTTTGTAGTATTCAAATTTTAATATATATATCTTATAACAAAAACATTGAGTAACTTAAAAATGTAGTAGATCAAAATAAGTTTTGCAATTTCCTTTTAGAATGTTAGACTACCCCACTAAAAATAAGATGCTTCTCTTTATATTAATATATTATATTAGCTTAATCTAAATAAGTTAATAAATTATATTTTTCTATTATATCCATGTACCATAAGCTGGTAAATTACACAAATCAATGTGACGTTGGTAGTTTTTAACCCCTTCCGCCCTCTTTGACTATATACTCTATAGCGAGAAACGTCGTATGTACGCCCTGTATAGATTTCCTAATTTTTTTTATAGCTATGCTGCCCTCTATAGGATTGTTTGAGGGTGATGTAGGAGTATTTCTGTAGAGGGCATCCTGTATTCAGACCAAATAAAATTCCTGCGCCCAGTAAAGACCCGACATTTAGTGTAAATGATGTAATTTCTCAGCTTTGGTACCGCCTAAGGCAATGGTAATGGGGCAGACTGGAAAGGGTTAAGAGAGGTACTTTACCTGGACAACCCAAACCAAAAAATACCCCACATTAACAAATGTCTTCTTTATATTTCTAATTAGAGACCAAAACTAATAAAGACCATGACAACCTCAGCCCCAGAAGAGGTCTGGAAACTGGATGGAAATTTGTTAATATTTAATTTTATTTAATAAAAATGTAGTATGTAGTGTCAAATGGGCATACCTGGAATACAGAGCCAACTAGTAAGGTTATGTTTCTTGGTTGCAGACGGAGAGGAGGAAACACCTAAGGAAGAATTTAGAAAAAAATCAGTAAACACACAAAAACATGAAAAATATTGCAAGAACACTACTACTACTACTACATTCAGTTATTTGAACAACTTCAAATAGCCAGATTGTTTACCTGTATTGTCTTAACCCTACTGGTGATCTGACGATCATGTATAGCTGCAGATGCGATAAGACTTGTACTTCCCAGGCTCCGACCGTGGATGATAAACTGTGACACATTGCGGTCTGATGAAGCATACGTATCCGCCCTAGAAATAAATCAAGATGGTAAAAGGAATAATACTGTGTCGTTATCATTCCATCTAGCAAAAAATGCACGCACATCACCCACAAAATATAAATTATTCACGCTAATCAATCAATCAGTGATTTATATAGCGCCAATATCCATAGTGCGAGATAAACGTTCAGTTGCGCTCAGAATATGCGATTTAGAAAAGGTGTGTTTTTAATCTTTTCTTAAAAATTTGTATATTAGGGGACAATTTAATGTACACAGGAAGAAAATTCTATTGAAGTGCAGTACTGGAAAATGATCAGCGACCAAAGGAATGGAATTTTCATCTTGGCACATTGAGAAGGTGTTTAATGAAGTCGAATATAATTTTTTTTTTTTTTTTTTTTTTTTTGTGGACAAAAAACCGGAATTCCAAACCATATATTTTTAGTGTTTGACAATAAAGTTTGACAATTGAATTGAATACAGTGTAATTACAGTATTATTACATCTTGCAAAAAAACACACACAAACCTACAAAATGCAAATATAAATTATTATCTGCATGAAAAAGAGTCCCAAATACGCCACTGATGGGGATTATACGATTAAAATAAAATCATTTGTTTTTCCGTACTGCAGTTTTCTGTCTGCAACACATCAGATTTTACAGGTACAGTTCACCTTCCAAATCGAGACCACAATGGGGCCTGAAAATTTAGGGTGGTCTCATGGTTTGTTCTTCGGTCTGGGAGGGTTAGCTTATAAAATACTGATGACTGTTATTTTGTTTTATTTATTTGTTTGTTTTTTTTAATAGTCTCAAAATAGAGGGTTTCGAATTGGATTGTGCACTACATGGTATATTCAATGGACTTTGAAATTTGGTAAAAATGGCTAAAAAGGCTGACACCCAGGAATACTACTTCAAAAAAAAAAAAAACCTTTTTAGTACATACCTAATGGAAATTATTTCTGAGCCTGAAGTCAGTTTCAACCCTACGAGATCAGAGACAGACGCAACAAGTGGATTGTTAGCAGCATCAAGAATACGCACTTTGGCCACTACCTCATTCTCAATTTGAACCTACGGCGAATAAACAAAACACACGTTACTGTTTAACTGTGGTAGTAGCCGTCTTCTTCGTAAGACACATGGCCATAATTGACAGGATCCATTTATAAAATCACTGATGGTGTACATTTGAGAGCCAACACTTACAATTATACTACACAAAGTTTGTAATTTTTGTGGTTTTTTCTGTTTTTATGTAAATTGAGTACATATATTTATATATATATATATAATGTCTTTAAAATTTCTATATTGCAAATGATTGTGTCTTTTTTTGTTAAGGTAGTACAACAATTTGGCAGGCCTTGCTCTTTCTATATAAGATTCAATTGTCGAAAATACTAATTCTCTGTATGCTGGTGAAGAGTAATAAGGAGACAGCATTCAATTTACCAAGTGTCGCATCGCAAAATGTGACGCGTTTTGCAAAACAAAAATTGCATACTATTTGCTAAACATAAAAAAATGCTCAAAATCGAACCCTGTATGGAGATTTTGAAAACGTAAATTTGTAGTATTTAAATCTCAATTATTGCTAAAAATTTAGAGTATTTTATGCTATTAATCTATAGACTATGTACAACATCGTAAAAAACATTCAAATCGCAATGTTATTTTTCAGTTTAGCTAGTTCAATACCTTGTCTACAACTGCTAGATCAATGCTTTCAATTCCAGCAACTTGCACTCTTGCTGATGCATGATGGGTCATTTCAAGGCAAAGGTCATATACAGTTACCGTTTGTATTCCGTCGTTGAGTGGCGACACCTATAAATTGAATTTTGAAAAAAGGAACATATATTATATTAAATTTTGTTTCCATCATTTTAAGATACCACATTGACAAAATGTATCTCATTATATTTAGATATGCAACAGTGGCATAACCAAGGGGGTGCGCACAGTGCCGGAGCACACTTCCTTTTTGTTTAAGAATGGAAAAAATAATTATCAATTAATGGAAATACATTTATGGTGTAGTCATAGCGATAGTCATCAGGGGCAGATCCAGAGATATCCAAAAGGGGGATTCTGAGGGGGCAAAAAGTGTGGAAAATTTAGACAACACTACCCTAAAGGGGTCCCGGCAAATTTTTTTGTTTTCTAGACGTTTTCTAGAGTTTAGTCTCTATTTTTGTTTTTATTTTATTTAATTTATTTATTTTCTTTTTTTTGGACATATTGTTATAAATGCATTTGTTAACAAGTCTCCCTTCTGTTCTTTATCCACTCTGTAATCATACAGCCCATAATTAGTCATAATTATGTATTGCTGTTGAGAATTTGCTGTTTAGGTTTAATACAAAACAAAAGTTCATTCAAAACTCACCTTTATGCATTTGTTTATAGCACTGTAAAACGACCATTGCAAGAACGCATTATAATTCAAATTTAAAATTATTATACTAGCATTATTAATTGAAAAAATTACCTTAACAATTCTTTTCTTGTCATCATACTTGATGGATGTTATATCTTTGACATTTTCCTTTATGAGAAAATGACCTGAGCCTCCAGTGATTGTTAACATTGCCTAAAAATTATATAAAAAAATAATGGCATGATTCCTGCAAAAATCAAATAACTAAATTTTTAAAGGTCATTAAAAAACAATAGTAAAACAGACTGCACAAGGCAATTACCTGTGACAGATATAACAGAACTCAAAACAATCCGTCAAAATGGTTTTTAGATTCAAACAAATACTGTATATCAATTTTTTTCCCACTCCCTTAATCTTTGCGATTTTTCCCGACAAAACGACTACCGCGAAAGATAAGAACGCACAAAAATCTAGAAATTCTGAATGATACTTGTGTCTTCAAAAGCAATACTAGGCCATAAACATAGCTAAAAAAAACTGGTAGTCCTCAATAACTGAGTGGAACTATATTTGGTTTTTTGTGCAGAATTTTTCAATCATTCAATCATATTTAAGTTAAGTGCAGCATTTTATAAATGACTGTCATATTCCTATTCTCAAATAAAGCTGTCTTGGGTTAACCAATACATCACACTTCACACAGCCAGAGTAGATTGGTACCAGCAGTGGTCTACAGCATTTTCATAGCTGAGCCTATACCTACGCCTACCTTAAGGTACAATAAAAATTGCAGCATTGCATTTCTTCTACATTACAAGTGTATGCCATTAGTTGATTATTAACTATTACAATCTTTTTATAAAACATATCAACGTTTAGGCCTACATTTTCTGCAAGATTTCTAACAAAAACAAGTTGCTTTAAAAAACCTTGGTCAAGCCTCCACACAGGAAATCTGAAGTAGGCCTGCCTAAGCTAGTCTAAAAATCAGTTGGGTAGGAGAATGCTAAAAGAAAAATCGAAAAAACCCACCAAATTCGGGAGCTCTAGCTATAATACAGGCTAAGAAAACATAAAGGTAGGTTTCTGCATAATGAGAAAAAACAATTGGAAACCGTAAAGTCTTGAAAAATATAAGGACGCGAAATATTTCCTATTGTAAAATCATGAAAATATAGGGCTAAGAAAACATGGGCTGTACAGTATTGCAACATCCATAAACTTGTCAAAAGATATCTGCAAACATAAATAATAGTCATGATTTACTCATTATCAATTTTATAACTGATGCAAGCGATTACATCAACTATCTAAAGTCGGGCACTTGCTGCGACGTACGACTGTCATACAACCTTCGTACGGCGGGTCTCACTATCTGCTCCCTGCGAGAGCTAGACGATGCAACGCTGTCTGCTGATTGTTGGTGGCAGTCTGAACAGATTGTCAATAAAAATGATCCACTGCGTAAGCGTAAGGACATTGCGTCCTCCAAACAACCACGAGTCCCCGGCTTGAAACGTGTCACTGAAGCAGTAGGATTACAAACCTTGTTTGATGGATGGTTAAAAATGGTGATAGTTTTCGGATCAAAGGTTGTCTCACCCACAAGCAACAAGCTAAGGAAGTCACTGAGAGCTGGTTCAATACGTTCCTAATAAAAGTAAAACATACAAACATCAACATATGGAACAAAAAAAAAAAACCCCACAAAATTGTTTTTTGATGGTAGGCATAATGTTGGCAAGAAACAGTGATAGCATGTCTACATATGGCAGGACCAATGATGGTAGACCCACAAATGACAGGCCCAATGATAGCAGGATCAATAGTCATATTTGACTGGTCTGTTTTTAACAGTTCTTTCTACTCAAACTGCACATGTCGTATTCGACTGGTTGCACGAGCAGCACAAACTCCTCACAAGAGCGGCTTGAATTTCTCGCTGTTTTTTAATGAGCACACTCCGAGCTCCTCGAAAAAGGACCGCTCGAATACGCCTATTGATAGTAGATTCAATAATGTAACACCAGAACCCATGGTAATAGACTGAATGATGATAGGCGCAAAAAGCAAGGCCCATTGAAAATAGACCAAAATAGATAATGGTAGATTAAAATGGCATGCCCAATGATGGTATGGTAGATAAAATGATGGTAAACCAAACAAAAGTAGACTAAATGATTAACAATCATTTGGTCACATCAACCGCATCTGTACAACTAACATTTCTGATTCAAATTAGTAAGGCCATGATATTTTTCATGGTTTTCTTTTGATTCGGTATTGCTGTTTCCAAGCAACAGGGCACAACCACATGATCAAATACTACATGTATGCAAAAAATTCATAAACTAAATTTCTGATGCATGGATGCACAGGCAAAGGCCATTGCAAATGTTCTTATTGCTTTACAGCATAGGAATCAATAATGGCAGACCAAATGATGGGAGGCACAATTATGTTACCTCAGCGTTGCTCACCTTTTGCTTAATACCCAGCTTCTTGAACATTGCAGCTCTGTAGCTATTGGTTGTGGCAGTCAGTGTTACTGAGCCTGGACGTGTCAACATCACCACCATCCCATGTGCTGTTAACAGATAAAGTGTTCAAGACTTAGTTAAAACGAAATTAATGTAATTTTCAGACAATCTGACTTTTCAGGATATATTAATATATAATTATTCAAACTTAATTATAGAGAAAGTGTAATTATTATATAAATATAAATATGAATTTCTTTGTTTTAAATTATTTTTTCTGATTATGGCACATCTAGAATTAAATTTGAATATAATTTTCTTTTTTCTCCCTTTTTTATATTAAAAAAATGGGGGTCCTGAACAAATTACTGAATATAAATATTCAGTAATTTGTGCCGGGAGAAGAGGTGGAAAAATGGGTGGTTGCACCCCTTTTCCCCCAAGATTTTAAATATTAATGTATGTAGCACACTTTACTCAAAAAATGAATGCATGGCCCACATGGCCCAACATGTAACACACGCCTGGCACGCACAAGTACCAGATATCAAACCAGATACCATCACCAAACTTTTACATTATTTTCTATTCTGTTTATTTTCTATTCTACTTAATATTTTTTTGTTTTAAATATTTAAAAATCCATATTTCATTAACTGTTCCAAAGTTTCTTGCCAAATGTGCTTTTTGTTTCTTAAAAAAACTGAATGTACAACATATCAATTTTTCCCCCCCTCCGGAACCTGGTTTTGGATATCCATAACTGAAGCTGCTTTGCAAACTAAGATGGAAAGCATGGTACATCCCCATCAAGATCTGTATAAACAGTCTGAGGTGTTGTCCAACGATGTCAGACCCATTGAAGGCATGTCAAAGAATGGCAGGCCTATGGATGGCAGGCTTGATGATAGCATGTCCACAGATGGCACTGAAGCTGCTTTGAAAACTAAAGATAGGGGAAGGGGAGCAAACCTTTCAATACTTTTGAGCCTGGCACATCCCCATCAAGATCTGTATAAACAGCCTGAGGTGTTGTTAAGGCGATATATTGCTTGTCCGTTGATTCCCAGGTGATCACTAAAGATGTAAAATTGTCAAACTGGCGACCAAGGCTATCTGCTGCAAACACCAGAATCATAAGTTTTCCCGACATTGGCACCGGGATCTTAAAGAGAAAATATAATAAAAAGAATGACTTTAAACATCTTACTAATTTGTAGTTATCTAACAGATTAATAAAAGGGCTCCTTTAGCATAAATGTTTTTACATTTTATTTAATATTGTAGTGAGGTGTTGTGAAAAAAATTTCCTGTTTTATGCCAGGTCAATTTGATATGTGTAAGAAAAAATAAAAATCTGGTTTCTGATTTTGATAAGAATTTCTTGATAGGGAATGTTCCGAGTTGATTTTACATTTGTTAACAGTGATTTTAATTCGCATTTGGTAACTATTTTTTAGAATTGATAGGAATATCAACACAAAGTTGGTGATATTTTGAGACAATTTTTTCTAAGTATATTTTCAGACATCTATTTTTAAAAATTATCTGCTGTGCTCAGAATTAGAGAACTTGATTCATAGACCCAAAATTTTACATTGTTATCTATCTCAGTATATCAGTAACACACTTTTTATGCCTGGTACAACAAGACTTATTTTGTGACAGCACCTATGAAATATAGGTCCAATGAGAAAGCAAAGATTCAGAATTAATAAAGTAAAACAAAACACTATACAATCTCTTATTTGGTAGTATTATTTCTTTTTTCTTTATGACTTGCTGTATAATTCTTACGGACCTGATTTGAGGAGTCCAAAGTCAACGGGCACGGAGGATCAAGAGCTGGCTGTGTTATCTGAGGTCGAAGATGAAGTGTCGCCGGAGGTGCGCAAGCAAACTGGACTGTTGTCATGGCAACTGCTGGAAACTGGTTTTTAGTAGCTGGATAATTACCTACTGTAACATTAAATGTTTGCTCGCAGAATTCGAGACATGCGACTTCAAAGACATGGTAGTTTTCTAAATGAATAAAAAAAAAAGGAATTGAAAAAATATAGGTGGTAGATTATTTGCACTGTTGTTGTGAGATCAGAATATTTCCATTTTCTGAAGGATTGATGAATTAATATTCTCCCTCTCTCTACACCCAGATGGGCAGAAGCATGCAGATGAAGTGTGCTTGAAAACCTGATCTCAAGATTAAGAAACAAGAACGTTTGCACTGCACCAAAACACAGCTTAAACCTTATACGAACCAATTAATCAGAGGAATTTTGCTAATTAACCTTAGGGCATGTTTTGTGGGGGGAGGAAAAATTGAAACCAACAGGATGACATGCATAGTCTTCACCATAATTTTTTTCATACTTTCGCTGTGTGTTGTTTACTTCTTTTGCAGCACGCACTGTAGCTCACAGGAAGTAAAATCAACTTCAACTTCTGTAGGTGATTGTCATTAAAATCGCCGGCCACTTACCAACGCTCACGTTACCATATTTTTATTAATTACACTTTACACTAGAAATGCATTCCAAATGCTGAATTTACCGTTTTTAAGAAAAAATGTGTTTTTGGTGTTAGTCAGCTGAAACATGCCCTTAAAAACAGAGCTATGTTGTTAACTTACTGTGTACACCCATGCTCTTGATTTGGTGAGCTAATACTGCATTTGGTTTTTCTGCCACTAGGTTTCGATAGTACTTTGATGGGTCTAGAACCCAGGGCTGTGGTCCACCAGAGAGCACGAGTCGCTTTGAAGATGCCAGGGTCACCACTGCTACATCACTAGGATCTAAAACCTGAACAGAATAGATTCAGAATGTTGAGGAAAAAAAAGGAAAATACCTAAAGGAAATGTAAATAAGGCATAGAAACTTACATATTGTCATGAAAACCAGCAATTTTGGTGTTCCCAAAGGCAATCTTAGCGTTCCATACTTGTTTATTGTAAACTTACTTCGTGCAGATGGGTTGACTAATATGCAAATTGGTCTTGGTACGGTGTTATGTGATGCTAGTGAGGGTTTTGTCTCAGTGTACTGCAGGTAGGCAGCCGGACATGTGTGTGCCGGTAGTAACCACAGTGGTGGTAAAATTTTAGTCTCAACGGTTGTGGAATCCGTTTGGGAGTTAGCCGAGGCTAACAGTGGCCTTCCTTGGTAATACACTGAAACAATTTACTCCTGGTTAGCCGTTGTGACAGCTTTATGGATAGGCTTGATTATCTAGACCAGTGTTTGTTGAGTATCGAGACGACTGTGGATGCCATGTTGTGTATCGTCGCTTCATTCAAGCCAAGTCTGTTCAAACGTGTATACCAGACGAGCGGAGCTGTACGCGTCTGAGGTCGTTCATTTCAGAGGAATTGACTTGTGTGAAAATAGACCAGCGGAGCTGTACGCGTCTTTTAGGATTATTCAGTGTGGGAAGCGTGTCTGGTCGTTTACTTGCAAGTATACTCATGAGACCTTTTTCTTATTATGCCATGGCTTTATTTTGTTAAATCCATTCATAGATTATTGGTAGATGAGTTGCCTCTCTTCTACAGTGCGAATGGTACCTAGGTTGTGTGGGTTAAGTATTTAATAAATTAGTTATTTTAAATTGTTTTGTATATTGTACTTTGTTCAGTTGTCTAACTCGCAGGCACATAAGAGGCAGCTTCCACTAGACTTTCGTGACATAAATGGGTGCTCGTCCGGGAGAATTGGCTTTTCATTGTGTAAAGTAAAATAAAAATTTACTATAAATATTTAGATGTTATGATGTGTCGAAAAGAGTTACACAATTGAGACAAAGTGATTGTATTTTGCTCTTATATCTTTGTATGTTATTTGATGAGATTGAGATATAGATTTAACAGATTTATTTTGGTAGTTGATAGTGCACAAAAACCATGGCTACTCCGGTAGATATTGACAAATTGAATATTGGGAATATTGGGCCATTCAGCTTGCTCCTTTGTTATCCGGTAGGGCTTTGCTTGTGTGTGCACCCTTGAGATAGAGTTTGCACACAATTATGAGATACTGAAACGCGAATTGTTGAGAGTTATAGACTAACAGAAGCCGGTTATAGAGAAAAGTTTAAATTTTCGGCTCCTGAAGAATTTGAGTCTGCTGCCCAATGCTTGTCTTGCATTGGTAGTTATTTAGATCGTTGGATTTGTTGTGCAGGTGTTAAACAGACCTATAATGACCTGAGGGAATTTGTTATTAAAGATCAGTTTTTGTCCAAGGTTCCCGAATCATTAGCAGTACATCTTAGAGAAAAGGTAGATTTAGATGACTTTGCAAAGGTTGCCGATGTATACATAGATGCTCATGGGGGTTGGGGAAAGCTAGATAATTTAACCAGTAAAATCAATGCTCAGCAAAGGAAAGAAACTAATCCGAAATTCAAAAGGCAATCGTGCCACAGAACCGTGGAAGTTACAAAGGTAACAATTATAGTAATTTAAAAATTCATAATAATACCCATAATGGAAGAGATAAAAGTAACATAGGTAGATCGCCCTCTAATAGAAAATGTCATGATTGCCATGAGGAGGGTCACTTTTGGCGTCAATGTTCTAAGGCTCCTAAAGATTTTGCACCTATGCTAGCAATGGTGGTTGAAGTAATGAGGGAGGAAAGGGCTCCAGATATGATGCCAATCCTAAGTACAGTTTGCGATAAGTTTGATAGAAATTTGCCCGTGTATGATGGTTTCATTGGGAATAAACAGGTCCGGTTGTTACGAGACACTGGGTGTAATGGTATCGTTGTTAAAAGTTCGTTAGTTGAACCTAGGTCTACGACCGGTCAAACAAAGTCCTGTGTTCTTATTGATGGGTCTGTTCGGAAATTTGCTGTTGCCCTTGTGCACATTGATATGCCTTTTCTAGTGGGAGAAGTTCATGCAATTTGCATGGAAAGACCATTGTATGACTTGATTGTAGGTAACGTAGAATCTGTTAAAATCCGGTCATCCCAAATCCTCATTGGAGAAAAACGAATGTCCATGAAAGTATGGTAGATAATAATAATGGTGAGAGTAAAGACATTGTAGTAAATGCTGTGGAAACTCGAAATCAAGTAAAAAAAAAAACCTAACACTAAACATAAACCATTAATTGTGAGTGATATTTTAGGTAAAATTATTACCCCGCAAAAGCTTTCTGAAGAACGAATGTCCGAAAAGTCACTTAATAAATTAATAGAGCATGCTCGGGAAGCGAGACAGTTTGAATGTAAAAACGGTGACAGTTTCTGTTACAAGATCAAGGATAAAATTTTATATCATTCGTACCATAGTAGGAATCGGTGCACTGACCAAGTAGTTGTTCCGTCTAAATTCTGTTGTGACATAATGAGACTTGCGCACGAAAGCATTTTAGGTGGTCACCAGGGTATAAGTAGAACCGTGGGTAAGATAACTTCAAATTTTTACTGGGCTGGTATTTTGCTGATGTCAAGAGGTTTTGCAGGTCATGCGACATTGTCAACGGGTTGTTCCAAAAGGTCGGGTTACTAGGGTCGTTGTTGATATTGTCAGTACGATATATCCATGTACAGAAAGGGGTCATTGTTATATTATAGTATTGGTTGAATGCTACTCGCTATCCAGAGGCTGTCCCTGTTAAATCTATTGAATCTGAAAAAGTGGCTGAAGAATTATTTAATATTTATTCACGCTTGTTTTTTCCCAGGAAAGTACTTACAGATCAGGGTACGCAATTTACTGCTATTGTGACTAAAGGAATAAATCGCTTGCTGTCCATAAATGCTATTACTACTACCCCATATAATCCGAAATGCAATGGTCTCGTTGAGCGCTTAAATGCTATGCTTAAGTCAATGTTAAAAAAAATGTGTCAAGAAAGGCCCCGTGACTGGGATAGGTATTTGAATGCCTTGTTATTTGCATATAGGGAGGTGCCGCAAGAAGCCACTGGCTTCTCACCTTTTGAATGGTCGCCAGGTCAGAGGTCCTTTAAGTATCTTGAAAGAAATGTGGATTGGTGAGTTTGAGTGTGATGAGCAAGGTGTTGATACTTTTCAGTATGTCATTGATCTGAAAGAGAGATTGCAAGAGACTTGTAAGTTGGCTCAAGAAAAAGTGAGATCACAAAAGGAGCGTCATAAAGCTTTGTATGACAAGAAAACTAGAGTGCGTCAGCTTGATGTAGGAGATGAGGTACTGTTGTTGTTGCCGTTGGACCATAATAAACTATTGATGCAGTGGCGTGGTCTGTTTAAGGTGATTTCTAAAAAGAACGAGTTCAATTATGAGATTGATCTAGGTAATCGAACAAAAACTTATAACATTAACCTACTGAAAATGTATTTCAGGAAAGAAGTAGGATTAGATTCAGCTGTTGGTGCATGTGTGGTTGAAATTGAAGAAGCATGTGAGGATGGTTTTTCAGCGGTTCCATTTTTGTCTGGAATGGTAGAAATGGAGAAAAGCGAGGATGACGATGTCAATGATGTCGGCCATGTGGTTCATCTGCCGTCGGTAAAGGCCACCCAGTCTTTTCGTGATGTTGATGTCAATAATGAATTGAGTGTTGAACAAGTCAGAAGGGTGAGACGTTTGTTAGCGAGTTACAAAGACGTCCTCACTGATGTTCCTGGCAGAACTAATTTGGGTGTGCATGACATTAAATTAGTTGATGATGTACCTGTTAGACTGATACAGATGCCAGCGATATTGGTATTGCAGCAGTGCTATTGCAGGAAAAGCATCCGTTTGGGAGTTAGGCGAGGCTAACAGTGGCCTTCCTTGGTAATACACTGAAACAATTTACTCCTGGTTAGCCGTTGTGACAGCTTTATGGATAGGCTTGATTATCTAGACCAGTGTTTGTTGAGTATCGAGACGACTGTGGATGCCGTGTTGTATATCGTCGCTTCATTCAAGCCAAGTCTGTTCAAACGTGTATACCAGACGAGTGGAGCTGTACGCGTCTGAGGTCGTTCATGTCAGAGGAAGCGACTTGTGTGAACATAGACGAGCGGAGCTATACGCGTCTGAGGTCGTTCATGTCAGAGGAAGCGACTTGTGTGAACATAGACCAACGGAGCTGTACGTGTCTATCTTTGGGATTATTCAGTGTGGGAAGCGTGTCTGGCCGTTTACTTGCAAGTATACTCATGAGAACCTTTTTATTTATTATGCCATGGCTTTATTTTGTTAAATCCATTCATAGATTATTGGTAGATTAGTTGCCCCTCTTCTACAGTGCGAATGGTACCTACGTTGTATGGGTTAAGTGTTTAATAGATACTTGCTTTATTTTGTTAAATCCATTCATAGATTATTGGTAGATGAGTTGCCCCTCTTCTACAGTGCGAATGGTACCTACGTTGTATGGGTTAAGTGTTTAATAGATACTTGCTTTATTTTGTTAAATCCATTCATAGATTATTGGTAGATGAGTTGCCTCTCTTCTGCAGTGCGAATGGTACCTACGTTGTGTGGGTTGAGTGTTTAATAAATTATTGTTATTTTAAATTGTTTTGTATATTGTACTTTGTTCAGTTGTCTAACTCGCAGGCACATAAAAGGCAACTTCCACTAGACTTTCGTGACACTTATAATAAAGTTGTATTACACCTGTTTTTATTGGCAGACGTCTGCTGTGAGCATCAAGGTCACACAATAAGAGCAACAGTTGATAAAAGATAACAAAAATTCTTGCAATTATGTAACAATGCTGATAGTATACTGATTATCTGATACAGTATTAGGATTGTTAAAATATTTATAGGCCTAAAAAAACACTGGTTTATAGATTAGAAACAGTAAAACAGTAATGAATTTCAACTTTTACAATACTGGGTTGTACACAGAAAAAAAAGGGTGGGTGTTTTCTCTTATACACATCT